AACTTCTACTTAGACCTCCAAAGAAGCCGGCAGGTTTTCAGGAGGCTCTCTCTCCTACTGAGACACTTCCAATTAAAAATCTGCTTCATTTCCAAAAGCGTTCTGCAGCTCATAGCACCCACTGAAACAGGAGATGCGCTAAGGGTATCTTTGAGTAAGATCCAAAACAAACAAGACTGCCTCTGAAAATCCCAGAGAGCAACGAGCCTGACTGAGACACACAGGGGGCATATTACGGTCTTTTTTACATGTTTCTAAATTCTAATTGGGGTATGAGCAAATCAGCTCTTGAGGAAAAGACCAAATGCAGGCTTCAGATCTGGATCAGCAATATTAAAATGTGGAATTTAAGGCAGGACCGCTGAAGTTCTATCTGGTGCAACTTAAAAACATTTAATAGTCTCATCCAGAAAACACTGAGCTCCTTCATTAGAAAAATTCTTCACCGACAAGCCAGGAAAGTATTTGTCGTAAATTATTTGGGTATGTGTAATGCAGCCCAGGAACAGCAGGATAGATCAGATGATAAATTTGAAATGTCTTTCCAAAATGTTTTTCTATATGAGCTATATATTATTTCATATTAATTCTCTTAGAAAAATGTTCAGAACTGAAGAAAAACTAACTGTCTTCTGCAATTCTAAACCTTGCCTAAAAAGTATCCGTTTGTACAATGGGCGCAATGGCAGAAGCAGAGAAAGACTTCCAGGTAAGATCTCCAGGTTTTGATTTTGAAAAGGCATTCCTAGAAATTCCAAGTAATTACAGTAACATTTGTTAGAGGCCAATATCAAACCAGAACATTTCAACTGGCTAAACTGATATTGATCTCCAATAGGCAAAAAGTTTCCAAGCACTGATTTTTGCTGTTCCCATGTATCTGGCATAGAACAGACAGAACTTACAGTGATGCGTTTTTTTGGGAATTTCTGGAAATGAGTCTAAAATTAAGCAGTCCCCAAGAGCTGACTGGGACTATTGTGACAGGGAAAAGTCTTAGCAGAGAAGAAAGGTGGTGAGTGAAGGCTGTCTCAGAGATCTTCTGCCCTGCTGCCATAGCGAGGATATACACTGCTGCCGCTGCCCACAGCTGGCACATTAGTATCCACTGAGCTGTAAATGTGCCCAGGCAGAATTTGGGGAAAAAAGGACTTCACATTTGCCTTTCAGAGGTCTTCTGCTCACAAGAAGGGTTTGTGGTAACAGGCATTTGCTCTAAGGAAGGCTGAGTTAAAAAAAAAATAAATCACAAATCCTAACAAACACATCCAAAAGAAAAGGAAAAAAAAAAAGTAATATTTAATAATTAAACAAAATGTTGAATGTTTAAAGACTGAAATGCTTATTTTTTTGTGGTCATTCATGTCATTCTACTGTGGCATCTAAACCCTGGTCTGGTCCCTTCTTCATGCACTGCCCGAAATACTGTCACTTTTGATTAGTTAAGACAGGCTTCTCTAGTAAGGGTGATAAGTGCCAGTTGGGAACATAAGCTTCTTATCGCTATTTCTACATATTTCAGAGACTACCATGGAGGGCAGGGGTGTGCTTCTCACAGAAGATTGCTATGCTAAGCTGAGCTGAGCAAAATAAACAGTTTTCTTACACAATCATGAAATGATAAACAAAGAAAACAGGAAATACACACTGGAAGAGCATTAAAAAGTGAAAATAAAGAGCGACGTAAAAAGAAAGCTTCTATTTGGAAGAAAGTTGCTGATTGCCCCTGGGTCATCTTGCTCATTGAGATCTGTGCAGTGCTGCTTGTGGCATTTGGTTGTGAGATTTGCCTGAGTGCCACTGCCCACAGAAACCTGTGCAGCTCTGAAAGGAAAAGACCTTTTGGATAAAAGCACTATGTGTCTTCTGTTCCAACAGTGCTGATAACCATCTCTGCAGTGTCACTGTGGTTGTTGGCATCCTGCTCTGTTGCTCCTTCAGCTCCTTTGCCCCTTTTCCCAAGCCAAGAAGGGACACGCTCAGTAAGGAAGCAGAAAAAGGTGGTAAGAGGAAAGTTAACGTGATAACATTATCCATTAATAAAAATCAAACACCTCTCTGCTCCCTTCTTCCCAAGACTTTTCCATGGCCCAGGTCACCACCAGAACAGCTGAGTATGGTGGGATTACTCCTGTGTGCCATTTTTGCCAAACTCCATCAAAAAGTAACTTTCCTCTAGTACCATAGGCACATTTTCACATATTAGAAAAATATACCTATCTCTTTATGTAAGCAAGCCTACTATCCTCTCGAACATTAATGTCAGTGACAAACTCTTAGATTTAGTAAATGCCCTGAGCTGAATGTCTGGTTGGAATCCTGAGCAGAAATACACATGGTTGTAACTCGTGTGCTGTTACCTTTTGTTTGTTTTTCCAGAAAATCACAGGACATATGATGTTTTTGTCACATCTCATCAACTGATTTGTATTAGCAACCTTTTAAAAACCCTAGCTATACTTTCTGCAAAGCTTATGTAAGTCCCCTAGGATTAATTACCTCGCTCAGAGTCCAATTTATTTAGCAATTAGGAAAAATTAGACAGTAACTAGTGAGTTTGCTGTTTTGAAATGAAAGGCCAGAGTACTTAGGTATGCTCCCAGCCTAAATGCAAGTTTTAGAAATTCATTATCTGAAAGTCTCTGAACAAGTACTTTACACTGCAATCTTTTTTGCATCATTTAGCCTCCAAATAATTTCCCTGTTCAAACTGTGAGCATACTAATGAAAAAAACAAGCCAACAGGAGGAATGTAAATTGTTTACATAATAGTTTTCATAATCAACTTTTCTTTCTCAGCCTGAATTCATCAAACTGGTAACACTGGTCTCAGGAAATGCACTGTGACGCTGTGTAAAATGTTGTGACACCACTGGGGAAGTCACTGGAACCACCAATAAAAGCTATCAAGGAGAAACCTTCTCTTAAGCAGAAGTCCAACACCAGAACCATGTGATAAAAAACATTCTAAAAAAAAAAAATGGGGACTTTGGCTCTACAAGCCTCCCAGAGCTCTGTTCCCATGAAGAAGAGATCTGTAGGCTGCAAAGCCCCTGGACTGGGCAGAGCTGGGACAACACAACTCCCAGCTGTGCACAGACATACGTCTGCCTGTGCCACAGGGCAGCCTGGCTGCCCCAGGAAGCTGCTCTTTCAGCACATTTACACCAGAAGTCACAGGAAACTATGGTTTTTGAAGGTAGCCTTTTGGACTTCTTACACAGCGTCTCCAGCTGGGAAATCCTCCTGCATATACCCCACGGCTTTAGAGTCACTATCACTGTCACAGCCCATTTGCTCTAGACCTACCTTTTAACCTTCACTCTGCCCATTTGGCTGTAAGGGCAGCTCTCAGGACCAGTGGTATCACTGTCTATTCAACCATTTCCATTCAACAAATTACAAAGCACTGCCTTGCACAGCACATGCAAATCACACCATTTCACAATATTATGAGCATTTTCTGAGGAACAGCTCGACCCAATCACTTGGAGCACTGTACGTGGAACAAGGGCTGTACAGAAGTTACGTACCGAGCATGAACTGCAGATCTGGAGGGGCTGTAGTTATCAAAGCTCCAATGCCAACTTGCCTTGAGTCAATGGGGATAGACGGTTCTGCAGCAGCTGAGGTTTTGGCCTAAAGGAATATAAATATTTGGGTATCATGTTGCTTGATTAACTCACTAGATAATGTGAGACAGCTGAACAAAGTCTTAAAGAGATCTTGCATATTCCTAATGTAAAGTTTGCAAGAGCTCCCTTTAGTGTACTTACTAGCTTTTCTTAAGGGACATTTAAGGTTTATGTGACCCATTTCAGGGATCTTTTAGATGTGATTCTGATGCACGCTCTAAGTTCACTTTGCCTCTCCCTATATTTACTATATTTACATTTTTTTGTGACAGAATTCAACAAGTGGACTGTACCTGATTTTCCCTTAATAGCTTTTCACATATTACACTGACTGCTAAAAATAAAGCCAAGTGAAGTATTTGCTGTGACATTCTTAATGTTGTCTGCTGGCTCCAGATTGTGGGGACTCTCTGGCCTTCCACAGGTTTTCTGGAAGAAATGTCACACTAGTGGTTCTTTCGCCACAGACATATTTTACATTAACAGCTTTCTTTTCTTATCTCCTCCTTCTAGAGATAGACGTCCACTAACCCATGAAAGCCACGTCTTGTGAGTGTGCATTGTAGACCACATATTTTAGGTTTTCTGCAAACCTTCTACACTCTTCATGACCTTCTACAGCCTCCTACAGTCTCATTTGCTGGGGACTAAGTAATGTATCCTAACTACACATCTTGGAAAAAGTCAGCTAACGTGAATAAGACTGGAGATACAGAAGAGGACCCAGGATCTGCTGGGCGTTCCATTTCCTTCTGGAAAACTGGGAATCAGGAGAACTACTCCCTGGGGTGCGAGTGCTTCACAGCAACAGGGAGGCAGCAACAGCAAAGGACATCAAGCCCTTAAGGATCCACTGCCACTTTTTGTCTCTGAGTAATTCCCTGAGAGGGCAAGGAAAGCTGTCAGGGTCCTCTGATTTATAGCTATTCAACGTTTGACCCTCCTTCTGCAGGAGCTGCCACAGCAGCAGTCCTAAAGACAATAGCTGGGGAGAGCTTCACAGAGAAAGGTCCCTGGGAAAGCAGTTCACCCTCCTTCCTCCCCCTTCTCTCCACTGGGAGGTTTGTATTTTCCTTCTCTGTCACATCAGGTCTAGGTAGCTGCTGCCCAGCACAGACAAAACTCAAAGACCAAGTGCAGACCGGGTCTTTACACCTTCCATGCTCAGACTTGGTAACAAAGGCACTGCACTGATTCCGTGCATTCAGGGGGTTTACAGCAGGGCTGTGCTCTATTGTCTCCGTATTGCACTGCCTCTTTAAAATCAGAAATGCATGGACAGCTTCAAGGTGCCTCCCACTGAGAAAAGGCTTTAGATGCATGCATAGAGACAGCGGAGCCATCCTCCCCTGAGCTGCAGGGCAAACCTGCTTGGGAAAGAAATGATCATTCAGTGAAGTCCTCTGGCTGCTTTCAGTGATCCTTTCTCTGCTCCAGCGATAGCGGCGCGTTTGCCGGGGAGAAAGCTGGAGGCTATCCCCAGGGTGCCCGAGACCTCCAAGAAGACAAGAGCAAGTGCAGGTACAGTTAGCTGATGGTGTTATGTCAGTTTATGGATGGTTGGGTTGTCTTTATTTATTTTAAAGCTCTCTCTTGGCATTTTGCAGAAAATCCTGTCTGAAATAGATACCACACCTCGATTTGACCAACATACAGATTTTTCATCCAAGTATTTATTTAGTACTTCTCTTAAATGAATGTTCGCATTTCCAGGCAGCTGTGGGGATCTCTTGTAAAGCAGTCAATTGTTTCAATCATTATTTTGTTTCAGGTTTTAGCTTTCTGCTATTCTGTTGTTCTGCAACTCTCAGTTTGAAAAGCAATGTGCAGGCAGAAGTTTACGAGAGAGTTTCTCTCAGAAATTTATTAAGCGTTGGTACATCGGGGGCTGAGGGTGGTTCCAGGGAAAGAAGGGGACAACAGCTCCACTCTGCAGACTGTTCTTTGTAGCCATGATGGACATTGTTTAATAGCATTTGACACCCTGAAGCCCTGCTGTCTCAAAGCAGAAAAAGCAGTAATGCCTTCTCAGTCTTTTCTGGGCTGGGGTGGGACTGTCCTGACAGCTCGGAGTCTGTGGCAGATGTGGCATGGGAAGATGCAAGAAGGCAGCCCTCCCAGCATTTTGATACAGACTAGAGACAAAATTAGGGAGTGGATTAGATTTTTTTTCCTTAATTTGGTAGGTGAGAATGAAAGGAGAACTGATGTCCTGGCTTCGAAATACATTTCTTAATTAACTATTTCCTCAATAGATCAATTTTTAACATTTGGTACAATTGGCAGTACAAAGAGGGGAGCCTGCTCCTCCGCACCTTCAAGAAGTCAAGGCACTTTGACTTGCTTAAGGAAGATTTCCCCTTTCATCTCAAGAGCCTGTTTGTGGAAGCACTCTCCCCGTGAATGGCAGGTCTGCCTTCACAGCAACGCCCTAAAAGCTGGTTCATGGGACAAAAACTTGTCTATGCAAATTGGCAGAGCTCCACTGGTTTGAGAGAAGCAATAATGGATTATGCTGGCTGAAAATTTGGTCCCCCTACTCAATTAATGGCTGTAAAAAAGGAAAGTGCTGGCTTCACTGCTTTCTTGGGTCCTGGCAACTCTCAGTTAATTAAGAAATGTATTTCGAAGCCAGGACATCAGTTCTCCTTTCATTCTCACCTACCACATTGCTCTGACTGAGACATCTAGTATAAAGCAAAAACTTTGTCCAAAAGGCACATCAGATACTTTTCAGCAAATTGAGGTGTCATCTCATTTTATTTTTTTCACCTTGTAGGGGGGTGGCAGCACTATGGGCGTGAAGACTGGCCATTGCTCTGACTGAGACATCTAGTATAAAGCAAAAACTTTGTCCAAAAGGCACATCAGATACTTTTCAGCAAATTGAGGTGTCATCTCATTTTATTTTTTTCACCTTGTAGGGGGGTGGCAGCACTATGGGCGTGAAGACTGGCAGAGGTTTAAACTGGACTTTACACTCCTATATTGTTGTTTCGCTATGTGCTGAAAACAAAATTTCATCATTGGTAGATAAAACTTCTGGGTGTAACAACCAGTGTATTGTGCAACTCGAGGGATTTTATGATAACAGAAGCATCCTTTCACAGGGTATTTCTTCCCACTGTGCACAGCCAGCAATAGAGCTGTGGGGCAATAAGGTGGCTATTGCTTTCCCTCAAGCACAGAAAATTGCTGTAATTTCCTCTCAGGAAATGTTTTCCTCTTTTTGTTGTCACAGAAGGAGATAAATGAGGCTGTTGCTCGATAACCTCATGGGGACAAAGACAAGGTGACTATCTGCTCAGGAGCTTTGGATGAGGTCTCTCACCTGCCACCGCCGTGCCCTGCCACCCTGGGTAATTCTAACACAAAACCAAGGGCCAGGCAAGCCACGCGTGTCAAAAGAAGACAGAGATGGCCACGAAGCAAGCTGAACATAACCAAAATGCTACCGTCAACCTCAACTTTGCTGCAATCTACAATCTCCACGATGGGGATTTAACCTCCTTGCGAAACTTCTCCTTCCCTTTCAATTTCAGTTACAGCGATTACGACCTGCCACTGGACAGTGAAGATGACATGACCAAAACCCGCACCTTCTTTGCAGCCAAGATTGTGATTGGGGTGGCCCTGGTTGGAATCATGCTGGTCTGTGGCATCGGCAACTTCATCTTCATAGCTGCTCTCGCCCGCTACAAGAAGCTGAGAAACCTCACCAACCTGCTGATTGCAAACCTGGCCATTTCGGACTTCATTGTGGCCATCGTGTGCTGCCCCTTCGAGATGGACTACTATGTGGTGCGGCAGCTGTCCTGGGAGCATGGCCACGTCCTCTGTGCCTCAGTCAACTACTTAAGGACCGTCTCCCTCTATGTTTCTACCAACGCTCTCCTGGCTATAGCGGTTGACAGGTAAGTGGGGTGCTATCACTGCACAAGGAGATGGCCAGAGCCCCTGGGGTTGGCTGTCCAGATGTCTAGGTTTTTAACATGCTCAGCTGCTCTGTAGGATCTGACGTCAAGGTAGGTACTATACAGACCCGGGTAGCTTGTTTCATAGAAATCTAATCACATGAGATCATGACATTACCTGGGAGAAAACTCAGGGGGAATTTCTTAATTGAACATTCCAGGGGAAAAGAATTTTGATTTATTAAAATTGTTTCTTCTTTCATGAAGATATGCCTGATTCAAGCATAGGAGAGGAGTTATGAAATAAGGGAAAGAAGAGAAAGAGAGACAAAACAGAAAACACCCAGAGATGAGGGTGTTGATCAGCACTATATAATCCTGATCCCAACCACACATCTCTAAGGAACCATCACTAGTGGCCTACACAGCTTTTCCGAGTCTAACCTTTCCTATAAACAGTGAAGTAAATACTCTTCAGCAATAGAAATAGTTGACTGGTGATACAGAATTTGACAGGTGAGTTTATCGCACCAATATTTATGGCACTGTCCAGAAAGTGATAAAATGATAGATAAAAACCCAGTTTAGCAGAGATTTTCCTACAGCCTTTATGATGGTGTAAGCAGAAAATAATGATATCCACCTGTAACACTACCTGCTTTACGCTAGAATCCTGAGATATTTCTATGCCTGCCTCTCACTCCCGGAATTTTAACAATATAATTTCATCGTATTCTTTCTTATGACTCCTGTTCTCTTAGCCTCGTACACTGCAGACTGTGATGGATGCAAACACTGAGGATCAGCTTCACGCTGACATAAGTCTGACACGACTGACTCACAGAAAGCCAGAAACCCGTTTCTGTAAACTCTTTACAGAAAGGCGATCACAGGAAGTCATCTTTTATGTACAAACACAATGTACACCTCTGTACACCCTCTGCATATACACACTGTATGATTCCCACATCCCCCTCCTTTTTTTTTTCCAATTTCTCTCTTGTGCCATTAGTTCTAGTCTAATGCTGCATAGTTTTTGGTACCTGATGCAAAAGACAGCTCAGGAGCAGTTAACCCTGCTGATGGTCGTATAGATACAGCTTGTCGCAGCTGATTCAGATGCTATTGACGTCAACAGAAGTCTGTGGAAAGACTCTGGGGAAGTTCAGAGATGTTTTGCCTGGTGTGGGGGAAAGGACAATCAGCTCCTATGAAACAAATCCTTAACAAGTGTCTAACAAAATAACCTTTGAACAGCAGCTGAGGACTCAGCGTTAAGCTTCTGAAAACTATCATGTATGCATTACCATTTTCTACTTATCTTTTTCAACATCTAAAAAACTTTCTTGGAAAGCTCTGCTAGTGCATCCCAGGGTGATGAAGTAACATGGGTCATTGAGCCCTTACGCCTGCTAAGAAATCAGAAGATTTCTAGCATATCTTCCCATGCATCTTTAAAAACAATCCTGGAAATGATTAATCACTGAAGTTTGTTATAAGAACATAGTGTTTTGGTTTCACTGCATTTATTTTTTTTTTATGAGCTTTTGACGTGGTAAACAGAGAGAAACCTCATTCAACAATCAACAATTCCATATTGGTTATGTCATGTGGGTCATTGACTTTTGCCTTGAAAAAGAACAGGCTCCTAACAAAAGTCTTCCCATGCTTAGATCATTCAAAAAGCCTCACCTGTTTAGAGAGGGTAAGTCTGTCCCACAGGATTTCCCTCGAGTACGGGTTGCTTTCACCTTCCTTGATGTCTATTCACATGAAACATAGGAATTTCACATATTTAAGGCCACATCTACACTAGAAAATAACACAATGTGAAAGGAGAGGAGTTAAAAAGCAGGAGTTTGTGCTATGGTCCAATGTCCACCCTGTAAATATTTTGTGGGGTTTAGCTTTAGCTGGGTCCTGTGGACTGAACGACCACAAACACTTGGTGTGTTTCATGTACACTTTTAGAGCACATCTTCCAGGGTAATTTCATCCAAACTCAGTTCATGCCTAGTGTGGCAAGCAATGAAAATCAGGAAATCCACCACAAAAGCGTCGTCCAGACTCTCTTGTAGAGATTTACCCCATCCAGCCAAATGTTCTGCCGAGTAGATACGCATACTTATGACTGCACACACATACATTTTCCCACAACCTTGTTTCCACAGGACCTGAGCTAAAAATACTCATTTATCAGCTCCACAATGAGACTGAGTAATTCTGCTGTCCCTTGACATCTAGCCTGCGCTATTCAGAGTGATGAACAATTCATCTGCTTCCAAGACCTGGCTGATGAAAAGCACCACTGACTTTCCATTTTATTGTAGAATGAATATATCCTGTGGATGCTATCTAAGGATAGAATATATACAGACAGAAAACCCTCCGAATAATAACAAATTCCACTTTTTGAAACAGTCCTTTCTGTTAAATACAATTGTACTGGGAGGTCTGAAGCGTCTCTTGAAAAAAATCTCCTTTTGGAAGAAATATCTTAATCTTTGTGGGACAGTGTACTCTATTGTAAGCTCTTCTTACATCTAGAGCATCTTAAAAAACCATCCCCCACAAAATCCAACCAAACAAAAAATCCCAGAGTGAATGCCATCTGGTCCTAGCCCTTTTGTAACTGAATCAAGGGTAATTGATGGATCTTCTAAGTAATGTACTGTCATTTTTCCACACTTCTTTGTGAAACACTGCAGTACACCTTGCAGCTTTACAGTCATAAGGAGTGCAAATACCTAACTCAAGTTTTATGGTTTGGCAAATTACTTAACACAGCACATTTAAGATTAATTAGCAATAGTCACTGCCAGCAGACAAAATAAAAATTTGCATGGTCAGAAAATGGATACATAGTCCTTTGTTGGTGGCTTGCAAACATGCTTACCTGTAACCATTCACTAGCTTCAGCTCTTTGCACCCCATGGAATAACCAAGAAAATAACAAAACCAGTTATGTATATTTTAGAGATATATATACATATAATAACAATACCAGTTAAGTATATTTAAATAGTTCTCTGCCTAAAGAAAACACTATTTTGTTTCTACATGTTTGGTTTTTCACCTGCACCTGACTAGGTGTATAGCACTGCATGTTTCAAACTCTCACCTGAACATGTGCTGTCCACCAAAGGATTTCCAGATGCTGTATCATGGCACATCCTGGATATGACATCACCTGAGTATCGTGCTAGGTCCTGCAAATGTATTTCTTAGTAATAGGAATATTACCTCTCTTTCTTCTCTTCCAGTCTTTCTGTAACTCCCAGACACGTGATCTGTGTTAAAAACTTTGTGATAAAAATTACAACTTTTTCAGTTTGATCTTGTTAACAGGTGGGAGTTTAAGACTGAGGTCTTAAAACCATCTCCAGACCCCCTAATATATGCTCAGATTTTCAGATTGCCATGTACCCACTGTTTTAACAACCTCTTCAGCCACTCACTCCAGAGTTTCTGCCTAGATTTAGGAACTCGGCTCTAGGCTGCTACTTCGGAAAATATTCTGAGCTCTCCTCATAGACAAATTTGTCAGGTTCCCTTTTTAAGAATGACAGCAATTTCCTTCTGCCTAATTCCGTCCACTTGCATTTTGAAGTGTGTTGTGACTCATAGTGTTTTCACATTTCATTTTTAATGTATTTGTCTGTTCCAGGTATCTGGCCATTGTCCACCCATTGAAACCACGCATGAATTATCAAACAGCAACCTTCCTAATCGCCTTGGTCTGGATCGTCTCCATACTCGTAGCTATCCCATCTGCATACTTCGCTACTGAAACGGTGCTATTTATAGTGAAAAACCAGGAGAAAATTTTCTGTGGTCAAATTTGGCCAGTTGACCAGCAGATGTACTACAAATCATACTTCCTCTTCATCTTTGGCATTGAATTTGTTGCACCTGTGATTACAATGACCTTGTGTTATGCCAGGATCTCTCGGGAGCTCTGGTTTAAAACCGTACCAGGATTTCAGACAGAACAGATAAGAAAGAGGCTTCGATGCCGAAGAAAAACCGTTATGGTACTGATGTGCATCTTGACTGCCTATGTTCTCTGCTGGGCACCTTTCTATGGCTTCACAATTGTCCGTGACTTTTTTCCCACCATCTTTGTAAAAGAGAAGCATTATCTTACTGCTTTTTACATAGTTGAATGCATTGCTATGAGTAACAGCATGATAAACACCATGTGTTTTGTAACTGTAAAGAACAACACCATGAAGTATTTCAAGAAGATCATGTTGCTCAGATGGAGATCAACATACAACGGAAGCAAATCGAGCACAGATTTAGACCTGAGAACAAGTGCAATGCCAGTTACAGAGGAGGTAGACTGCATAAAACTGAAATGAATTTTCTGCAGTTCTAATCTCATATACTTTGGAGAGAGGGTAAAAAGGAAATAATGCCTCCTCAGAAGCTTTTCCCTTGGCTGTGGGAATATCCACCATTGGTGAGAGCCCTTGAAAAGCAGCCTACTGTGCATTTCCACCAGAATACTTTTCACTGGACTGATGTATAACCCCATAACTCAGATGCCGTGCTCAGTTCACCCATCTGTAAATTTGGGATGTAGACACTCATTTTAGAGTTGTTTAAAATTTAAGGTGAACAAAAAGGTCTATGAATGCATTAAAGCCTATTACAATGATGGAAGAGTTGGTTGTTGATCCTAGCAATGATGTCGCTTTGTTTCTTCTTAAGAGAACTCTCTTAACCCCTTTGAGCTTATCGTTAATACCTTCAAGCTATTTGTTGTCCTTCTGCTTACAAGAAGAAGGATGACAAAAATGCCCATGTTGCTTCATGTCACTCTTTATCCTCTCAGTTTATCCCTCATAATGAAGCTCCTTGAAGTCTACAGACTACCAGCTTTCTATTGTCCAATGCGCAGCATGCTCTTATGAAAGGCACAGTCTCTACTGCTTCACAGTCTAGTGAAAACCTCAATTCTCTTCCTGTGACACCTCATTTAAGAATATTCTATCAGCATTCCACTCTGTAGATTGATGCAGTGTTGCTCTGTTTATTATGTATTTGGAAATGGCACAGTTACATATTGAAAGGGGCCTGTTCCCTTCTCTCACCTCCTGGAACCCTATGGCCAGCTTCTGCTGCCTTGAGTCACTGGAAAAGTCTTCATAGAAAATCATAGAGGTGGGGAGCAAGGTCTCCAGACTGTCTAGTCCAACCCTCTGCTCAAGTAGGGTGAGCTAGAACAGGTTCCCCAGGACTGTGTCCAGTTGGGCTTTGACTCCAGGGATGGAGACTCTACAGCCTCCTGGACAACCTGTGCCAGTGTTCAATAGCCCTCAGAGTAAAAAAGTGTTTTCTTCTGTTCAGATGGAATTTCATGTGTTTCAACTTGTTTTGCAGTGGGACCCATGTAAAAGAATAGCGTGTTAGTGGGAAAAAAAAATCCATCCTGCTGAACCAGGCCTAGATATCTTATCAAGTCTATGTACACCTTCAAAATAATGTACAAGTAGGGCCAACATAGCACAGACACCTTGAGACAACCTGTCCTTCTACAAACAATGGAGACGGACTCTAGGCTTCAGCAAGCCAGTCACTGGTTGACTTGAGTAGCTCATTCTCTGGTCAAACATGAAGCAACAACTTAAGATGAATTCTGCATTGCCTCCTCCAGTGCTGTTTTTACTATTCTGATTTTGTGCAACATCAGGGTGGGTGGTTCTTAACTGATAATCGTGATAAAGCAGGTGACAGTAGCAGTAATACCTACTCATTTAAACTACACATAAGATATCAGAGACTTTTGTGTATTGAAATTGTCTTTTCTGTTGTGATGACAAAGTATGTGGTACTGCCTACTTTTGGAGTAAATGGCTTTTGTAAATAATTTGTCTATTTGTGAATTTAAAGTGAGCAGCAAATCCTGCCAATAAAACAATAAACATGCAGTCAATATCACATTGTGAATTATTTTTTCTATTTTTCCCTTAGCTAGAATTTTCCTACCCAAGTGACTAATGTGAATTATCCCATTTCTGCTAAAGAAAACTACGAGGCTGATCAATTATATTTAATGACAAAAGGATACTCAGATCCATTAAAGTGCTCAAATCCTCTCGTCATTAGCTGCTCTTAAAAAATAACATGTTGGAGAGGATCTCATAATTTGCTCTATCAGGCAAAACAATTTCTGAAGTCATTCTTCAAAATTACGTTTTTGAAAAGGGTAAGTACTAAATCCATTTGCTTCCCAGACTGCCAAAGAAATTTAAAGGACCAGAAAGTTGCAGTATTTCATCATCACGAGGCTTAATCTTGCAATTTCTCCTTGGTCTCTCCATGGTTTCTTCAGAAACTAGGCACCTGTATTTATCTCCTGAAACCTGTACTAGTTATTGGGGATTAGCCAGTAATACTACCTGTTATTAGTGCCCTGGTACTCCTTCCATCTGTTTTTCTGAGACTTTTCTTGGTGCAACAAATCCAAACAACTGACAGTTTTCCACACTTGAAATTCACCTTAGGTTGTTATTTTGAAAAAAAGCTCAACCACCACCAAGCAACACGGTACCAAGCAAAAACCAGGGAAAAGAATTGCTTTAAAATTCTGGAAATTACTGCCTTTAGCCTGTGTCTGCACCAACTCCAAACACCCCAAAGCTGGTCACAGGCTTCACTTTCAGGGACCAATGCCTGCTCCTAAACTGAGCTCCAGCAACCAGGGGCCCAGGGCAGCACAAGCCCAGGGGTCTTGCATGGGGCCAGAAACCCCACAGAGCTTTTTCTATCCACACAGAATTCATTTCATCAAGGGAGTGACAGGGTATGGCCTCCTCCATTGACTAGAACCTGCCTGCCACCCATGACTGCACTTAAGAGGAGAATTTAAAAGACTCTTAAAGTCATTTAAAAGCTCCCTTTAAGTGCAGAAGTGTGCAGCAGGGAAAGGCCCTGACCTGACTGGCTCCCTCAGGCAAGGGGAAGAAGGTAGGACACAGTCCAAGCGGAGCAGCCGAGGGAGGGGTCCAGACCTCACAAGCCCCACAGCTTACATGAGTTGTGCAGGGAAAAAAATAACAGAAAGGCCTTTCTTTTTGTACCCATACAACACAGGCTAGGGAGCGTGGGTGCCAATAGGTGCTCCAGAGATGGGTGCTCCCTTTGCTCCCTGTCAGGTGAGGGTCCCCTGCTGCCTTCTGCCCAGCCCCTCCCTGCAGGAACACTTTCTCACTTAGATTCAACGGCAACATTTAGTGAGGTAACTGAATATGGATTGCACCTACCTGGAGCTCTACACAAGTCATGCTTCAACAAAGAAAAGCACAAGCTGGAAGAAGGGCAGCATCAGCCATGGAGGAGAAGCAGCCCCTTCCAGCATAAGCCCTTACCCACTGGAAGGCAGCAAAAACTGCAGTGAGACCTCTGCAGCTACCAGCTGCCCACCATTAGCTCCAGTGGCACAGCAGCGGTAAGGACTTCACCATGCAGGAGCTGTGAGACGTGTCGCGGATGAGGAGGGGGTGCGAGAGCGGCATTCTCCTGAGAGCTGCTAGCAGGGTTTATATAACCATGCAGTGAATGAACCAGATGCCACCACGTCTCAGTTGTGTCCTGCTCCAGTTTTTATTGCCAAAAGGAAAAATGTGGTGCTATCATGACAGATTCTTGCTCAGCTGTCCTCCTGTGCAACAGCGCTTAAAACCATAGGCTTGCTTCCTTCTGCAGCAGCTCCTCCAGGGACAACTGAAGGTAAAATCCAGTCTCTGCTCCTTCACAATGCCTCTCTGAAAAACATAAAAACAGGTGTAACTGAAAACTAAAATGGTGGCCCGAATGGCTTAGAGATGATTAAGAGAAGAAAAAGCAGTTATTCCCAGCATGGACACTGAGAAAACAAAGTATGTGTTTTAATAAAGCAATAGCAGGAAAAGAAACTCCAACCATTGTCCCTCTACCTAAGGAGGATGAGCTGTAAGAACCTGTAAGAACCAAGGCCAGAGTGGGTCACAGCAGTCAGGACAGGAATTTTCCCTGTGGGCTGACTCAGATATAAACATGCACCTTCTGATTCCAGGCTGGCAGCCTTTCCTGTAGCAACAGCACCCTCCAGCTGCTGCCTCTGCAATAAAAGCCAGGTGCTGAAGTGGTCCAAATCAGCCAGGAGGTGAAGACTGCTGGAGAAGAGACATTAAGCACTCCAATACACGACACATTGTATACTCAAGAAAAAAGCCATGAGGTACAACACAATGAAAGAGGTATAAGCCTCAAAAAAGCGAAGCATGGAAGTGCTACAAAAACTCCCAGGTGCTGAAAGACTCCACCACAGCCATGTGGTGACAAAAACAAACAAAAAAAAATTGCAGCTGAGGAAGAAACCAAAAGAATCAGACAGTAAATAAAGCCCTAAAGAAGTGGAGGGAAGGACTTCCCTGGGAGGGCATGATGAATGACTCCAAGAGGAACTGGGCAGCAAGAAGGAGAAGATCGTCCAGGGTGCTACAGAGAAGGACACAATATTGGGCTGGGTATATTACCCTAAGTACAAGAAAGAGCATCCCATAGCATATGCAAGACATAAAATACAATACTAGAAACACCACACCATACCATCCAGAGAACACCACAGAAGACAATGGCCTTCTCCTCTGCGGCAACGCAAGCATTGACTCCTCCGGCACCGCGCCATCAAGGCCTCCTCTGCGACGTCACCGCAAAAGGCTCTTTGGAAGCGGCACTGGAAAAGAGACGGCACCGCAACAGGCTCCTCTGGGCTAGCCCCACCAGGGCATCCTACGCCTCGCTCCAACCATGGCCTTGCCTGGGGCAGCACAAGGAAGAAAACAGACGCTA